GGGGAAGTGTTAATTAGTGATTTTTATTAAAGAAGAATTATTTTTTTCCTGTATCAAATTTGAATTGTCCTAGAATGTCAAGAAATTTTGTTGGTCAAAATGCCTGTAAACCAGTGATTAGGTTTTTTAACTTTTTAAAAAATGTTTTGGTTTTTTAAATAAAAAGATGTGTATGAGATGACTCACCTTAATTAAAATAAAGGAATGGGGATAGTCATTAAACTGTATTAAAAGTATGCTCTAAATAAGTGAGAAATGAGCTTGAAGATAAATCGGAGGACAAGAAAAGGATATATGTATTACAAGAGCTGTGTACATGATACTGAGGAGCGGCAGAATTAGAAGTTATGTTAGATTTGCTTGACTGTTGACTAGTTGGTTTTCACTAGTAAGTAATCATGTACAAACCTTCATAAAATATTTGGCCAATGACTGTAGCAATTGTAGTTGTTGAAATGTAAAATGGGTATTTAGATTTAACAGCTGGTTTTGAGAATGGCATAAAGTGATTGGGGAGGGGGTGTGTGTTCATTTTTTTGATGTGCTTTGGTGTGGTTTTTTTTTTTAACTAACTTGTGACGCATGTGATACTTGTCAGCTAATGTAAAAAGTAATAAACTGGATAGGTTGTGTTACTGTATGAAGTTAATAGAATTAATTATAAATGAACTAAAATTTTCAATAAGTGTGCTTTCAAAATGAGGAATAAAATCGGGAGGAAGGGACAAACAGGTTAATTATATGCTTTTAGTGTAGTTCTTAAAACTAGGTAATAATTTGCCATGAATGGAGCTGCCTACAGGCAAAATGAAATAAAATAGATGGAGACAGTCATACTGTGTAAAGCGGTTGAGGTCATGGAAAGATTTCCCAAGTACTAGTTGGCACAGGAATAGGGACAGAGCAAAAACCCAAATCCTTGACTATCACTTAAATAATTAACTAAAATCAGCAGTTTGTTTGTGGGGGAGGTATCATTTGGCTACAGCTAAATACTTCACAATCACAGGGTAATTCAAGCTTCTGTCTTCCAGGTTTAACCTTTCTTAAGTTAAGTTAGCACCCTTGTTGACATCCTAGACTCTTTATGCCACTAAAATTCATTGTCCTTGCTGACATTTTATATAGTTTATTTGTACTGATGGTGAGTTATGTCCTCAGTTATACTTGAGTGGGAGCAAGTTTGAGACTGATGTGTTCAAACATATAGCTGCTAAGTAGAGACTCCAACTCCTCTGGCCTTCAGTGAGGAAAAGGGCTGGTAACAGAGAAAAATATAAAGCAATTCTGTATCTTTGCTAAGAAAGTCACCCAAATTCATGACGCTTTTTAACTGCCATGCAATAGCAAATCTTAGATACTCTGCTTATATGGAGTGTTCATGAGAGAAAGACAAGTCAGATCTAGCAGCTAGAAAAGGAGATAGAAGAGGATGGAAAATGTATTGAATAGGACACATTACCTGATCCAGTCATATGAAACGTTGTCTAGTCATCATCTAGTGAACTGTTAGCAAATAATTCCTGAGAATATGATAAAAGAGTTCAAGTATGTCTTAGGTGTTGACAGCTGTAGTGCTTTGACACTGAACCTGTTTAAAATAACTGATTTCGTTAGAGGAACGTACAGGAAGTACCTCTGTGCACATGTACAGAAGTGGACGTAGAAATAGTGGGAAGTGGAAAACATAGCAATGTTCACTGCTCAACAACCAAGCAGCTGACAAACTGTCTGAAAGTGTTCATGTTTCTACTGTTCTAGAAAGTGCATGCAAGAGCTTGAAGTGCATAAACAGCAAGTTTCAAGAGAAACAGCTAAGTAATTTAAAAATGTTTTTTGTTGAATTATAGGAATATTCTATAGTGTGCAGTCAGAAATGCTGTCCTGTGCCCATCTGTGGCTTTGGGAATGTTTGGCATTGTTTATAAGAGCTTTTTGAAGGAAGGAAGCAAGGAACTTCAGGTGGAAGGCATTGAGAGGAAATGAGAAGCAATAAGAAAATAAAGAAAACTTACTATTGATGTGATTGCTGTGGTATGTTTCGTCTTATAGTTTGCAAGACATATCAAGAAATCTGAAGGCCAGAAGACACCCAAAGTTGAATTACAAATCTCAATCTATGGTGTAAAAATTCTAGATCCAAAAACAAAGGTAAGACTTAAATGTTTATGGTGCTAAACTAGTAATTAAATATTGTTCTGACTGTTGTTAATGGTTTTATTGGTTTATATTTTTTAAAAGTGTTATAATGAAAGCCATTTTGTGATGGTAATTTCTTCAAAAATACCATTTCTTGTTACAACACATGGGTGACATCTTCCCTGGAAGGTACATGATACTTCAAAATACAGACTGAAGCTAACGTAGGATTTAATCTTTTTAATCCTTTCACACCAGAACTTTTAAACTCTGAGGAAGATAAAAACACTGTGGTAAATAAATGTTAACACCACATATGATAAACACCTTTCCAAATGGTCACCATTGTGTAGGTGCCCACATATAGGTGTTTGCAGGTGAATGTGGAGACAATTTGTTTGCAGTGACTTGTTCTTGGTGCTGCTGCTTTGGAATTGCACCTCTCTTTCCTGAACCTGTTCCAATTTTTTCCTCCTTTTCTTGTGTTTTAAATTTTGTTTTTTTATTGTATCCTGCCCCCCGCCCCCGAATGCTTATGTTTCTCGGCTGTGTTACCCATTTCTCTGTAAGCTTCACGTAGCAGGCCATAAGTACCCTTGTAGGCTTTTCTTCTGGCATAGCATGACAATTTCTGCCTTTTCAGCAGTTAAGTGTATCGAGTCATCCCATGGATGGGGTTTCTGTTCCTCTGTTTGCTCTGCTATTTTAGAAGGGGTTACACAGGAAGCAAAATGTCCTCCTCACAGACTTCAAAGAGGAATAATGAGATAAACATAATCAAGCTAAAAAGTATTTATTCAATAATCAGCAATTCTTAACATGTGAGTGTTCTTTCGTCTTTTATATATATGTTGGATTTGAATGAATTGTTACTGCTTCTTAATTGTGAAGTAATTGCTACCCTTCAGGCAGTGATACTGCCTTTTGAGAAAAGGTAACTTTAGTTCAAGGCTGTATCTGCTTGCAACCCATTTTCTCTTCAGACACTTGATACAAACCACAATTCAACAGTTTATAAGCAGAGGGGGCAAGAAATACCCATGTCAAGTTTAATTGCAGTTTTTGTATCTTCCTTACGTCGTAGGGCAAAAGGGATGCTAAACTCCATATGCTGGCAAAAACTTTCAAAATAACGGTTTTAAATGCCAAAATATGTTAGTCTTCCTAACTCTTCCTGCAGAGATTAACAGAAAGCTGTGGGATGGAAGTTCCTGGGGGGATAAGAACATTTTAATCTCTTAGCAATGTTGTTACAACTCAAATGGCAATCAGCTATGAGTAGTCTTTTTATCTCCCTCACTTCATTTCTTAAAGCTACGTGTAAATGTAAATTTGAATCAAGTTTTCCTCCTTTTTGTACAATTTATAGATGCTTTACAAAATTACTTAAATTCCATGCTCTCATCACTGATTACAATAACTTTTTCTGGTTTTGAAACAAATCACTTCAACCTTAAATGATACAAAAAACTTACATGGATCTATAAAGCTAAAAGAGCCAGAGCAAGCATGTGTTGTTATATGTAACTGTTAAATTGCTACAACAGAAAGATTAAATGTGAGAGGTGTGGGGACATGGGAGAAATGAGATGCACAGGAGAATGGCTGTAAAGACTCGAGAAAAGAAACCCAGTTGGGGCAAGGGGAAAAGGTTGCCCATATGGTACATTTTTTTGATGAGTGGTTGTGTGCAGAGAGGGCATGCCCTTATTTATGAGCTTCTAGCAATCTGGGAACCCTGGTGCTGCACAGAAATTCTGTTTTTTTTAATAGATAATAGTTCACATCTAAACTGCATATTTTCCTTTAAAGCAAATACTACTTTCCCATGTAATAAGCCAAATAAAATAAAATACCAAGAAGAGACTTGTTGAAGAAAAACAACAAAAAAAAAAATAGTCGAGATATTTTCTTTCGGTCTTGACAAGCTCTCTTAGCTGAAGAGCATTGCCACTGCAACTTTTTAAAATAGCTGGAACATGGTTTTTAATGGAAAGTGAAATATAGTGTTGAAAATATGCAAAGAATAATGTTTAAAAGCTGTTTATGTTGTGCTTTAAGTAAGCAATTATTAAGATGTCTCATTTATTTCTCTATGACCCTGTATTTGGGTAACAAAGTTATATTATTTCTGTTTTCTGTATTTAAGATAGAAAGGTAAGGATTTATCTCAGTAAAACCATTTTAACAAACCCTGGGAGATGATGAAATCTGAAGATCCTGTGCACCTGGAAGAAATCCAGAGTATTTTACATAATGAGTCCCTAAATAAATTGCACAGGGACGCAAAGCAGCAGTAAAACCAATTTTATAGAGCAGAAATTACTGTCCAATTAAACTGCTGTCCAAATAAAAACTTCCTGCTTACATTCAGTAAAAATGGGAACATTTGTTAGGAGATGAGTTTGCTAACTTCTGTTATACCGTAAGTCTGTTTCTGGGCACTCTCATGTACAGTGAGAGACATTCAGAAATGTTACTGCAACTTACCTGCTCTTATGTACAGGAAGAAAACCAGAGATTTACTTTGTGCATCTTTATTTTAAGCAAGTATAGTAATTTCTTGAAAAAAATCTTTCTTTTTATTTGCAGGAAGTCCAGCACAACTGTCAGCTCCATAGGATATCGTTTTGTGCTGATGATAAAACTGACAAGAGAATATTTACTTTCATATGCAAAGACTCAGAATCAAATAAGCATCTGTGCTATGTATTTGACAGTGAAAAGTGTGTAAGTATGCAAGATGCTTTAAAAGAATTTGGGTGACTGTAACAGACTTCGATTGGTCTGTTTTGGAAAACAGGAGTGGTTAATAAAGGCAGATAGCCTGCCTTTTTATTGGGGTCACTTTGATACAATCTTTCATGCCAATTTACTGTATTGTAACTGAGATGCATTAATATAAAGGAGAGCTTTTTTCTTCATTCATCTAAGGTGGTTTTCTGAGACATTATTCTTACTACCTAGCTCGATATCCTAGGCCAAGCATCTGCGATACTCTCGGGGAGCAGACTGCATCCCACCAAGCCTGAAATGTTTGCACAGCTGTTTTGCAGAGATTGCTGCAACCCTGTGGCTGACACCCCCTCGCAGGCTCTTCTGATGATGTATCTGCCTCAGATTTTTTTTTTTTTTTTTTTTACAGCAAGGTTCCCCCTTTTCTGCCCCCTCCCCTGCCCCGCGATGTCTCTCAGGTTTGTGAGTGCTGTGATGCACTACGAGAGAATTCATTGCACCCACCACTAACATTCTCTTGTGTCTGAGACAGAACAGGGCAACTGTTCAAAAATGTCCAATAGCAGAAAAAAAAATAACACTTTAGGACAGGAAATGAAGAAAATGGTGTACAGCTGAAGCAGGGACATGTGTTTACCCTGGCAGAAAGTAATTCACAAATTAAAAAAACTGGCACCAACACCAAATGTGGATGTTTAGGGTTTTTAATACTGGAGCCTCTCTTTTTGTTTTTTTCTGAAGTAACTGACATAGTATTTCCTTTGTATGCTAGGAAAACAATTTTTTTTTTTTTAATAAAATGATGCATATTCACTTCTCTTTATGTGTGGTTGTGTAGCATTATGTGTTACTTCACAGTGTTTCTGATTATTTTGTTCCTCACCTGGATTGGTTCCATGTCTTCAGTAGATGTTCAGAATTGCTATGCACACCTGTTCATTTCTCTTCAAATTTCAGTCCTGTGCCTTCTTTTCACACATTTCCATGATTTTAAATTGCCCTTGCAGTCTCTGCACATTAGCACAATTTTTATTCCAGAGCAATGAATTGTTTCTTCTCTCTAACGTGGTATTTTGCTTACTGTCCTTTTTTCCTCTGTTTCACTCTTTTCTCATTAGTACTCTTAGATGTCAAAGGATTCCACCTTGGTTGGTCCTTTTCATTTCAGCCAGCCTTCATCCTTCCAAGAAGATAGGACTGCATACTTATGCTTTTCTTTTACTGACATAAACAGTGATTCTCTATAGCAGTCCTAGTTCATCTTTTTTGGTCTAATTCAGTCTAACTTGGTTAAAATAATTTCTTGGGTGTTTTTTTTCTTTTGTTTAGGTTGTTTGGTTTTGGTTTTGTTGTTTTGTTTTTTTTTTTTTCTTCTAATAAACGTGGTCATATGGGCTTTTTTCACAGTAAAAAGATAGAGGGGTTAATTCTCCACTCCTGTAGAACTCAGGTCTTCAGACTCCTCTGCTGAATAACTTTACTGTTGCACTGATGGATAAAATGCTGGGAACATCACGTTCTGTACCATTTCTGTGCATCCATCCCTTCATGTTCTTAGAGGTAGTAAAGGAAAAACATTCTTAGCATTGAGCAGAATGCTCTGCTTTCATGAGAAGCAACCAATTTCAGGTTTTCATTTCAATAAAGAGGAGAATATTCTGGTTTAGCTTTAGCCAGATTAATGTGTTTTAACTTTATTCCCTGCCTAATTGTTTAAAAGAAGTAGAAAAGTTATTCCTTACTGTGTTTCCTTTCTCTATTAAAGTTCTAAGGCAAATGGCATATCCGTATGTTCACCTTTTATTGGTGCCTCTTGTAAGTCAGTATTTTTTTCTGAAACCTTAGTGTGCTCAATCAACTTCTTGTACGCTTATTTTTACCTTGTTATTTTTAAAGTAGATTTTCTGAACTGACTGTGTATACACATAATAATATATGATGCGAATCAGCTGAACAACTAAATTGTTAAGTTTTGCACATACAAATTCTGTTTGGTGGGATTTTTGTAATGGGAAATACTTGTGCAGATAAATGCATTTATTCACAGTATGCTGATTGTGATATTATAGGACTTGTAAAAATAAGTGTTGAAATCAAATTTAAAAGCAATAGGCATCAAAACACCCATTAACATGAAAACATTAATCCATTAAAACTAAATTTATTTAATGATTGAAAAGCCTGTATTTGCTTCAGAAATCATCAGAAAAAGACATACTACAGCGTGCTATCTGTATTTACAGAAATTAGAGGTGTAATTTATAGTGAAAATTTAGCTAATTATGTTCTGCCTGTTCAGTGTCCCTTCTTTATCTGAAGTATTTTTAAGTTGCTTCTGTAGCAATTTGCTGTCAAGGTATTTTGCTGCAGGGTGTTTGCTATGATCCTTTGTAGCGTTGACTTCATGATAGATGAAGCAAACGTTTTGAACATGATACGTGGTGTAAAGTGTTTTGTGATCATCTGAAATGAAAGTAATTATGTAAAATATTCTTAATATACTAATTTCCATCTTATGTTTTATGTAAAGGCGGAAGAGATAACTTTAACAATTGGTCAAGCATTTGACTTAGCTTACAGGAAATTTCTGGAATCTGGAGGAAAGGATGTTGAAACAAGGAAACAAATTGCAGGTTTACAGAAAAGAGTAAGTTCTGAACTATGTTTTTTAAAGAGATAAAAGAACATGCTACTGTATTTGTGTTATCTGCATTCTATGACAGAATAATTTCCATCATTATTCTCAGATTGCTAGGAATTGCAATAGATACTAAAAAAAGAAAATGGAAAAAAGACGTGATAACTGTGAAACAGTATTTTATGTTTTGCTGTCTTGCAAGGTCATTAAGGAAAAAAGCATGGTTGAGATATGGAAGATACAGAAACTTAATTATTTTTTGTAATCAAATAACTAGTTAAACATTGCTTCTAAATCACCAGATCTCAGATAAAACTTACTGTCAATAGACGCTATTGTTGAAATGAATGAGTATCCCAATAGCTGTTGCAATAATCACTTGCTTTGTAGATTCAGGAATTAGAAACTGAAAACACAGAACTGAAAAATAAAGTTCAAGATTTGGAAAACCAGTTAAGAATAACACAAGTACATGCATCTCCAGTAAGTACATGAATGTAACTCTTATATCTGAACTTACTCTAAATTCGTAATTGTTGTTACGATAATTATTGGCATCCGTGATGTTTCCAGTGATTGTGATTGATTAACATATGGTGATCATGTAACGTATCTGTTGAAATGCAGTATTGATGTAACAGTAAGATTGTGACAAGTCAACAAAAGCGCCAGTTGCAGTCTCTCCAATTGTGGTTCTTTAGTCTCCTTGTCATACCTATTTGTTGCTGCCTAAAGACAGTAAATTCTCATTCTAGTGGACAACTAAGCATGCCAGCTAAGGATGAAGGACTCTGTTCTGCACTTAAAGGATCTGGTTCACAAATACTACCTGGGATTTTTCTAGAAACTTTCTGTCACAAGCATATTGTCACTGATGTTTTCTAAATGACTTTTAAAGAATTTTGTGTGTCTTTCAAAGAAGTCGTCATGTCTCTGGAACTAAAATTGGGTGGGGAGGTAGAAAGAAGCAAGTGCAGGTTGCTCATCATTGGAAATGTCTAACTCGGCAGTTCCTATAGATGATCACAACAAAAGTAGTTTTAAATGATTGAGTGACAGTTACTGATATCTAGGCAGGACCTCTAAAAATGCAAGTTGCTTTGCAGAGTGTTCCTAATGACTCACCTCTTCTTACAAGTGTATTTTATCTGTACAGCGTTAGGTAACTGTGAAAATGAATACAATTTTCTTAATGTATGTATAGCAAAATCTTAGAAAAAGGTGGACTACTTTTAAATTGTGCATTCTGGGTTGCCTTGTTCCTGCTCTGGATGTGCACCATTTTACTTTAAATGGATGTTTAGAAATTTGGGCAACATAAAATTTTGGCTTTTAATGGTGGTGATAATTTTTCAGTAATGTCTATATGCTCCCTTAGTATGGATTAGATGGTTGTTCCTATGAGGAACTGTCATTTTATTAAAATCTATTTAGAGGAGAATGCACAATAAGTTTTAAATACTGCATAACTGCCACAGTGAAAATTGTAAATTATGGATGTCTTCTTACTTACGAAGCATTCAGTGATAGGTAATCAGCTTTAATACTGGATTTAAAATGAATTTAGTCAATTCTTTAATTTTTTATTTTCCTCAGTTGGGGTGGCAGCTAGTTAAATTTTATTTATGAATGCAGTAACTAAACGTATCTTTGAATTCAGTTAAACAGGCTCTTAAGTCTCTTGTGGTAGATGCATTTAAATTAATGAAGAACTGGGTAATTGCATTTAGCAAAATAAAGAAAATTACTAATAATGACCAAAAAAGATCCTGTAGTTTGTGATGTATTTTGTCTTAAGACAATGGCTTCTCATTCCTTATTAAAGAGTTAATATCTAAATTTGGAAATTTGCCAGTCATTGCTAAATTCTCTCCCTAGATGGTGTTTTATTGTTAATTATTTTTGGTACAATGAATATGTGTATTGCTTAAATAGCACTTATGCTACAATAGAATTATATTATATTGATAATTATTAATATTAATATATTAATTCATTTTAATAAATCACTAGCAGCTATTAGTTTTCACATATGATTTTATTGCTTTATTTACGCCTTAATCTTTAAAAAGAAAACGGCAAACATTCCCTGATACAAATTTCTGAGCTTCCTCATGATTAGAATTGCAATAAGAGCCATCTAACGGCCTCTTTGATGCCTAAATCAATTCTGTGAAAAAACAGATTTATATAAAAGAATAAATATTGAAACAGGTTGCCCAGAGAGGTTGGTGCTATATGTGCTCTTGGAGATACTCAAAACTTCCCTGGACATAGTCCTCAGCAGCTTCAGCTAATTGGATCCTGCTTCAAGCAGGAGTTTGGATCAAGCTAGTTTCCTCTTATATTGTTCTTTGACCAGTTGTACAGGCAAACAAACAAAAACAAAACACATTTCTAAGAAAGTGTCTTTCTCAAATCTAGGAGCATAACTGTATCCACCAAACACTATCAAGTTTTGTACTTTACCAAGAGACATCATTCAAATAGGTCTGTTTTAAACTAGATTGTGTACATTGTAAATCAGAGCTCTTAATTGCGCTACTATGAGAGTAAATACATATAAATGCAACAATTAAGTTGAAATAAATGAAGGAATGGAATAGTGAAGTTATGAAGTGACTTCACTGCAGGGAAAAGGAAGCGTAAATATTTTAACGTAGTTTGAGTCCGATAAAGGGTTCCTAAGTCCAATTGCCTGGAATAGTAGTGGGTGTGATTTGGTGATACCTACCTTTTCTTTTACTATGTAAGCAACAAATATGTATGAAAGGATATTATGAACAATTCATAAGAAAATTGATTGCCTGTTATGGTTTGCAATTAATTTTATACACTTTAAGTTCAAATCAACTATCATTTCAAGCATGACTTTGCAAAGTCTGAACTCCTATTAGAAAAAAGCAGAAGTGGCACAAAGAGTGTTTTCTTCTGTTTCCACATAACTTCTGCAATACAAAAGATCATTTTAGTTTTTAAAACATTGTAATTGTTAGAGGTGGTTTTTTTTGCTGAATTTAAATTTTAAACTTTCAAGTACCATTTTGTTAAAAATATCTGTACCACTGCTGCTCTGTGTCTTCAAAATTAGAAAAGCAGCAGTTCTATCTTGTGATCATTTTGTCAGAGTAAATTTTTCAAATTTGCTCATAGTATTTATTAAATACCAAAATGAAATAGGTTACATAAATGAAGCAGAATATCTAACATGGGAAATAATACCTCATCTGAGTCACTTCTTAAGCACTTCTGGTTAGATGGGGGAAAACATGCTTCCCTGCAGATATTCTTTGTGCTACATGCTGCAAACATAACATAATCATTCTTGTGATTTAAAACAGATTTATTACACTATAAATTATAGGTTTCCTCACAGCTGTCATGTTCATGCTATTGAATCAGAGAGGTGCCTGTGCCATATGAGAGCTTTCTGAAGCTTTTTTAGACATAAGTGATTTGATTTATTTATACTTTGATACAGCTATAATTCCTGATCTGTCAGTCCAGTTTGATGTTGTTCTGTGTGCTTAGGTCTAGGGAGGGATCATTTAATGATCAATGGAAAGTTTAAGCTCTGATATTTGATACCTATTATGATAAAAGTACACGTGCCGTTAACCGGCATCACAGTAATTTGTAAAGAAATGTTCAGTTTCAGGAGCCAACTACAGATGGTTATAAAGTTGCTTCTGCTTATGCTTTAATAGTACCGTGGATTTTTGTATTTTATGTTTTCCTTTTTGTATTTGGTTGTTTGCACACTGTTTGTACTTCACAACATTCGCCATATGTGCTGAAATGGCTTTCCCGTCTTATAGGTTGTTGACTGTGCTCTTCCTTTAGTGATTAATGCATGGTCACAGAAACACTTGGTAATCAGCAATTGATTTAGCACTTCAGAGGTCAATACTATCAACTTGATTGAACAAGTATATACATAAAGAAGCAGAAGATGTTGCAAGGGGCTGTGATGACAGTTCACAGAACATGAAAAATATGAACATTGAAATCACATTGGGTGCTACATCCTGTTCCTTTTCAATCCCCATCCCTATGGAAGGGGGACAGTGAGCCGTGTGGTCTAAGCAGGCATAATATCAAGCTGACAATGGATGTGTATTTTCCTTCCCCATAAGAGAAGACAGGTTTTTTTAGTATTTATTGCACTTGTAGTGTGAAAGAGTGCTGTTGCAGACACAAAGTGGTGTCACTGTCATGCTTTATTTGTTAAAATACTGATCTAGGACAGAATGTCTTTCCTACTTGTCAGTGACTGAGAAGCCATGGTACCATTTGTATGCCATGCCAGTCTATCATTTCTTTACTCCTGCTTCTTACTTCTGAAGTTGGTTGATGTTTGTGTCGTTAATTATTCTAGATGCATTAGTCTTCCAATTATTTTTTTATGAAATGAAGTAGGTAGAAAATACCTTCAGAAATTTGAAGTTCTTCTCTTTTTGTATTATTTCACTGACCCTTGACACTGGTGGTTTTTTGGTTGTTTTGGGGGTTTTTGTTTGTTTGTTTTTTAAAAATCATGTTTGCTTTTTCTGACAGTAAAGCTAAAGCTCATGTCTTCTGATTCCCAGACCATTTTCCCATGAACAGGACCAGATTGCATCTTCTTTTCTCACTTCAGTATCAAAAAGGCAATAGAAATTGAGAGCATCCTAAAAAAAAATTCTACTCTCAGCATTCTTCAGTTTTAAGTAGATACATCCAAACTGTCATTTAAAATAAACATTTCTAGCTTCCTGTTGTCATTTGAAATAGGCTTGCTAACTAAATATGAAGACATACATAAAGCCATTGGCTGGAATTCATACTTGGGATCAAATGTAATACTGTCCAGACTTAAAATTCAGATTCTCTTTTTACTTTTAAAATGTTTTAAAAATATTTTGTCTATAGTTTATCAAAGATGATACTTTATATATGTGATATTTAAGAACAAACTAAACGTACCAGGCTGGACTGCAATATGTTACTTTACTGACAGATCTGCTTCTCTAAAACGAGTCAGTCCTGTGTTCACATATTGAACTCTTGGGTAATAATGTAGAACGCTTTCTTTGCAAAACATAGTGATAGATCATTTTAATTCACTGATCTCTGACATAAAAATGTGTATAAAGAATATTGTGCATGGTGACTTATCAAAATCCATCAGTGGTCTAACTAATAGAAGATACTGCAAGTAGTGAATTGCAAACTGAAGCTTCATTTTGAGCTCAGAATTAAAAATATTGTGGATGATTGATAATTTCACATGTGAGAGTATTTTTCTGTCTGAAACATCTGTTGCTACTTGTTTTAATTAAATTATTTTTTTAGGCAATAATAATGAATTGGAGTATTAGGGTGTTTATTGTGAGCCCTCAATTGCTCTATTTAAAAAAAAAATCTACTTGCATATGAAAAATTAAAATAATAAAAAATTAGAGGTGACTTTTTTCTCCAGTTCATAAGTAGTGCAAGTTCTA